TTGTTTATTTTTATTAGTTATTTAGTTTTATATATTCATTTAAAATATGATATACCCATTATGCTACTCAAAACTCAAAAGGCGTAATATATATATATATATATATATATATATATATATATATATATATATATATATATATATAGTTCTCCCACTCTTCCACCGTATTAGATGCCAACTCAATCAAAATGGTGAGAAGACACGAGAACAATAGTGGAATTTTTAATCATATTTCATCCTCTTCAGTTGCTTCTAAGTGTAACTCAAGTTTTAATTATTTTCTTTTGTTTTGGTATGATGCAAGAATTTCAATTTTTTATAATGTATATATATTTTTGAGTATGTTGAAAGAATCTTCTATTTTTTTTCATCTAGTGCAATATTTTTGGTATGCTGCAAAAAGGTGATTTTTGGGTATATTGCAATTCTCTTTTGGTATGTTACAAATAGAACTGCAAACTTTTATGATTTCAATATTTGTTTTGAATAATGCTCGGATCACATGATCTCTAAATAGCAAAATTTTTAATTTTTAAATACGCCTCTTAACCCGTTGGGTCAACCCGAACCCGATAACTCTGGGTCATGAACAAGCAGTCATAGACCCGAACCCGAAGTGACCTGAACCCAAACCCGACCTGACCGACCGTTTTGCCAGGTCTAGAGACATCTTAAAAACCACGTCATTTAAGTAAAAACCACGACTAGCCAATTGAACGTTGTTTCGCTTGGTTTTACCAAACGACCAAAAATGGAAGGTGGTTTTTGAAGTGTTTTTGTTGGAGAACTATTTAAATGTTCACAGAAGTAAAAACCAATCATAAAATGTTGAAAACCACTTGGTTGGTTCGGACACCAAAAACCAATGCCGATAATCGAATGACGAACGCCGGATGACTTGGTTTTTGGTTTGGACGAACACCAAGTGTTTGGACGTATATAAGGGTTGTGAAATTTTTTTTGATGATGCATAAAACATTTTAATTAAATTAGCCTAGAGAGCCAAGTTTTAGAAGTTCATGCCGGTCTTGATCACATTAAGACCGACTCAACTATTTTTATGTCTTTGTCCTTAGTTCTTAATTCTCGTTTTCACTCAATCATTATGCCATGTTTCTTGGCCTTTGTTTTGCTCAATTTGATCTTGTTTTTGCGGCAGTTTGGCATTATCAAAACATGTCATAAAACGGACACAGTTTTAGTACGACGTCGGCGTAAACCCGTGTTCCAACAAAGTTAATTCCTTATCTATTAGACAAACTTTCCAAGGCAGTTAGGTCTTTCTTTTCACGAAATTCACTTGTTGATTTTTTGGTTTTGCAACTAAATTTCTTTTCTTTTGAATTAATTAATTCACTTTTTTTAATGTGTGACTTTAGGGATTATCCCAGTTCAGAGATTCAAAATTTATATCTATGAATTGTAAGAGTCATTGTAATCACTTGTTATAATCGATAGAATTTAAAATGGTTCATTTAAAATAGTTTTTGTTGATCTGAATTTTAATATCTATGTGACCCAGTTTTTATACTACATACGCTCTTGAATATTTGTCCAGTTTTTACTTTTATAATCAAAATTGATGAACTTTGACCATTAACTAAATAAAATTTATATTGCAAGAATAACTTACGAGTGATTATCTTTTTGCTTGAACGTGACGGTAAGATGTTTAAAAACGTTGGAAGAAAATAACAACATGTACTTTATTGTTTGAAAACACGAGTTAGATGTTAAAATAAACTAAAAAAACTAAAAGTAATTAGAATGAAGTGAGAAAAAATGGAAGACACTCGAAGAGACTGGAGAAATTAGAAACAACGGGAAAAACGAAAAGGAACTCGAAAAAACTAAAAGAAAGAGGAAGAAGTTGAAATGACTGAAAAAAGTTGTATTGAAAAAACTTGAAAAGAATTGAAAAATTTTGGGGAAAAAGAAAAAATGTTGGAATAAACATTTTATTTTTGAAATAACAAATTGAAAAATAAAATCATTATAAATGTTAAATATTTTTTGTATGGAGATCCCTATATACTTTTGGACCATTTTTTCTTTTTCATATTATGTAGGTACTATGTAGTAATATAATTACTATTTTATAATTTAAAATATTTATGCTTTCCACAATCCATTTTAGATTAATAAAAATAGCTATTTTATCCATAGTTTTTTGGAACATGAATTAGTTTCAGGTAAATTAATAAATAAAATGTATTATTTATATTTAAAAGTGGACTCAAAAATAACAATGAGTGTGAATTGAAAAACTAGTGATATGAAAAAAATAGACAAATTGAAATAAATAATGATGATGATGATAATGATAATAATAATACTAGTAATAGAAGAAGTTGAAAGAAACTAGAAAAAACTGAGTTCAAACTTAAAAGAATTGAAAAAAGTTAAAACAATTAGAAAAAATCAGGAGAAATATGAAAAACTGAAAGTTTAGAGTTTAAATCTAAAAAAACAGACTCGGAAAAGAGTTGGATTTTGAAAAAATGAAAGAATTGAATGCAATATTTGGTTGGGGGATAATGTTTTTCTAGAAAATCATTCTTTAGGAGAAAATGATTCCCACAAAAAAATATTCTCCCTCATTTGTTTTCTAAACAATAACCACCATGATTTTCTAAAAAATTGTTATTTTCATTATTTGTTAAGAATTTTTTTTATGAATACATTGGTGATATTTGAATAAAAACTAAAGATGTTTTGAGATAACTTTAAAATTACTTTAGGCATCATTTTTTGTTTTTATATACGATTTGTATCAAATTTACGTTACAGAGTTTAATTCTATAGGGTTTAGAGATGGAGGGGATGAAGACTTTTGCTTTGTTCGTAAAATCAGGGGACTCGAGGAGTGAGTATAAATAGAAATTTCCCTTAACTTTAGACTATAATTAGACTCGTACCCGTGCATTGCACGGCCAAATTTTAAACTATATAATTAAGGAAAGCATTGATGAAAGAAAATGATAAAGTTAAATTATAATAACATATAATTAAATATTAAAAAATTGTGAATACAATACATGTTTATCATGAAAGATCACGTCTATCGAATCTCTTTCTCTTATCCAAGCCGGAACAAAGTAGACACGAACGGCTTATAACATAAGCATCCAAGTGGTTCGATTATTGTCAATTTTGACAAACACATTCCACATACTTTTTAAATTTTTGAGACATTTTTCAAAAGTGGACCAAATTGGGATGAGAGGTATGAAATGTTTAAGTATAACCGTATAAGTAGTATATTAATTGGACAATCAATCTACACATTAAATGTCTTGATTTAGTACATCTATCAATTTAATGTGATTTGACATAAATTATGCATGAGGCCACACATCAATTTTACCACGCACGCGGTTCCAAAGCAATACACTACCCATCATTTATTTATCTTGATCTGACATAAAGTTTGCATTGAGCCACACACCAATATTATTACGCACATGTTTCCATATCAATACACTACTCATTTATTTATTTTGATTTAACTTAAATTTTACATGGAGACACGTATCAACTTTACTATGCACGCGGTTGCAAAGCAAAACAATATCCATTTATTTATTTTGATTTGACATAAAGTTTGCATCGAGTAATGCACCAACATTACTACGCACGCAGTTCCATATCAGTACACTGCTCATTTATTTATTTTGATTTGACATAAATTTTACATCGAACCATGCACCAATTTACTACGCACACGGTCATAACAATACACTCTCGATTTATTTATTTTGATTTGACATAAAGTTTGTATCGAGCCACGCACCAACATTACTACGCACGAGGTTCCATATCAATACACTACTTATTTATTTATTTTTATTTGATATAAAGTTTACATCGAGTTACACACAAACTTTACTACGCACGCAATTCTATATCAATACACTATCCATTTATATATTTTGATTTGACATAAAGTTTGGATCGAGCCACGTATCAACATTACTACGCACGCAATTTCATATCAATACATTACCCATTTATTTAATTTGGCTTTTTTACATAAAATTTGCATTGACCCACACACCAACTTTACTACACACGCGATTCCAAAACAATACACTACCCATTTATTTATTTTGATCTAACATAAAGTTTGCATCGAGTCATGCACAAACTTTACAACGTACACCGTTCCATATCAATACACCACTCATCAATTAGGCCTAATTTGGTAGCCGAAACCCAATTGGATAGTCCATTAATTTAGGCGGAAACACTATTCAAAAAGGACCATGCTAGGGTGCCACCACATGGGTGCTACCATGAGTGCACCCATGCTTCGCACAGACAAACACAGACGATAATTGTCTGTGCGAAGTATGGGTGCACCCATGTGGTGGCACCCTAGCATTTTCCATTCAAAAAGTAATTCTACTTTTGTATATAGTTAGATTTATCAAAACTATACTCTATAACTTTGTAAACCAAACGTAAAAAAATTGAATGGAAACTTTTTGAAAAAAAATATTTTTCTCCTAACCAAATGAATCTCAAGAGTTAAAAGTTAAGAGAATAAAACTTTGAAAAATAAAAAATGATTTGCAGAATCAATAAAAGTTTGTTTAATCTCGTGCGTCGCACGCATTAAAATGCTAATTAATAAAATAAAAAACGCAAAAAATTACCTAAAAATCATTTTCCAAACACAACTAAAAATGAGTCATAAAAATTGGTGTGGTGGTCCTCGGAGAGAGTAAAGATCACTTTATCCATCACGTCACCCACATGGTCCACATCAAACATAGACTTCACCGGACAAAGGCTATTTCCGTCAAATTTCTTTCATTCAAAGCCAAAACGAATCGGCCAAAGCCCCCCCCTCNCCCCCCTTCTCGACCCCACCCCCTCCTGCCCTCAACCTCGTTCTCCATCTTCTTCCACCACGCTTTTCGCACAATCTCTCTCTCTCTCTCTCTCTCTCTGAAGATACGCTTCAAAAACCCTTTCCCTGCTTCGATTTCGCCGCAATTCCCTGAAAAATTCGATTCATATTTTGTTTGTTCATCTCCGCACACGTTCCATTTCCGCGTTTCTGGTTAGAGGGGAGAGTGCGGGAGCTCGAGTTTGACGATTTCTAGCGCTCCCGCATAATGCTTGTTGAATTGCCGAGAATTCGCCAGAATTGGTGGCCGGAGCTGGTCTTGGTTTAGCTGGGAAGTGGGAATGGAGTCTTCCAGAGCTAATCGAGCTTTTCCTTTCTACATCGATCTCAATGAGATCCCTCTGTCTTCTCCTAGGGGAGGAGATGAGGAAAACGTGGTGTTTTCAGTTGACCAGCCGTCGTCCGGAGCTGCTGTCCGAGTGCAGAGTGCGGACACTAGGCCTGCTGCGTCTCGGGGGTCCGAGGACGTCGGTCTGCTTTGCTCTTCGTGTGAGCTTCGGAGGAGAGGCGGGGAAAAGGAGTGGACGTGTTTGGGGTGTTTGATCCGGCAGCGTAGTGTAGGAGGAAATGCAGGTGGTTGTGGAAGTAGAGGCTTTGGAGAGGGCAGAGACATGGGGGTTTTAGGCCTGGATATTAATGCACCCCCTCCAGGGGAGCTGGAGCTTGAAGGTTTTGTTGTTGACTTGAATGAAGATGCGCCAGTGGGGCGGCGGCATGGCCAGCTTGACAGCGGCAAGTACGATTTTTTACTTGCTTCTTTATCCTCTTCTTTAATGGATATAATCTCTCTTTGATTGTGCAATGCATGTCGTATATGAACTTCAAGTTATAATTTAGGGTTTGATTTGAGGCTGTAACATATTGACGTATTATACTGGGGCTTTATTATCATACCTTATGCATAAAGAACCGGGTACATATACTCGAGTGTATTTAAATAAATATTCGAGACAATCTGCTCAAGTGTATTGATGCATGCTACTGGGGCTTTATTATGATGCCTCATCTCTCACATGATCACATCCAACTAGTACTGTTTTGCATGCATTATTGTTTCTCACAATGGGATAAGCAACTAGGTGACATGATTGAACTTTTAAGGCATTTATGGCAGACTGCATATGGTTCTTTTTCTTCTCTATAGCTATAAGTTTTCAAGTATTTTGTTTAAGCTAGTTAAGTGGTGGTGCTTGTTTAGTCTCTCCACTGCTCTAGATTCAGATTTTCCTATTGTTCACTTTCTTTATCCATATCATGATTTTAAAATTGGAAATTTGGGGTAGCATAAGCTTGGTGCTTCACTTTGTAGGGAGAAAATGATCATCTTATACTGTCAATGGCAAATACGAATCTACAATTGTTATATTGGAGGCTTCATGAATCTCTTTCTTGGTAGATTAATTTTTCTATTTCTCATTAATATTCATTTGAAAAGCACATACACTTCTAAAACTTTGAAGTATGCATGTCCGGTGCGCCGAGGACAACCTAACATGTGTCCCTTTATTGCTAAAATGGGGATACAATCGTAAAATTTGAGGACATGCAGGACGCTTTGGAGACATGACAAAGAATGAGGTCTTTTTAAAATAAAGCTGACGTTTTGGACGAAGGTGTTAAACACAAAACCCTAAATCCATTTCTCTTATTTAGCATCTTTGATCTTCTCTTCACAATCACAAAAAAATTGCAAAACAACTTGGACTTTTTTAAAACTGTAATTATGTACTAACATTGTCCCATAATAGAGTCATGTTTGACTAAGGTACAATTTTTAATTTTTCATAAAGTGAAACGACCATAAATATGGATCTTACTTTTTTGGTTTAAGTAAATTTATTACGAAGTATAAATTTAACTCTTAATGACTCTTTTTGGCAAATTACAAAAAAAATTAGCTTTGTTATTTGATCAATGTGGACACCTTTTTGGGTTTCGATGACTTTTTCTTGGGACAAAGAGAGTATAACACACGAGTTGCTTTAGAAAGTGCGGTTTCTTATACCTCTATCCGTGTTGCTTACTCAATTTACTATTGAGTTAGGGTCACATAAATAGGCCACTACACACTTGGGCCAAACCACTCTAATGCTTCAATTCAATTGATTAGCTAACAACAACAAACCAGTAAAATCCTACAAAAAGTAGGGAGAGGCTGTTTCGCAAAGACCCAAGCTCGAGCACAGTCACCTTACATCAACAACGAAGCCACAGTGCATGAACAAAGAAGAAGCAAAGAGCAGACTAAGGGCGTAGAAAAGCGAAAAGAGACAGAAAACACACAAGCTGCCTCTAGCAACTCAATCGATCAGCTAATACTCCCTTTGTCCCAAAAACACTTCCATGTCGCAGGTTACGATGCTTGACTGAAGTCATTTTCAGTTCATTCTGTAAGAAAATTGGCTTAATATTTTTTTTAAAAAAGTACTCGTATGTATTAAAATACTACATCAAGAGTTTTACAAAACAAGAGGTGACAAGGCTATTATTTTATCAAATAAGTAATGAAAATTGGAGAACAAAGTGCTCAAAGTTTGAGCCTGTGAATAGTGAACAAGAAATCCTTTTTGGGACGGAGGGAGTATGACTCATTATCTTATTAATGCATCGTTCATACTTTAATATTTTAATGTGGGACAACAGTGCACCACGGGTTTAACAGAAACAACCTCTCTGTTTACAGAGGTAAAGTTGCATCGGTGTTGACCTCACGGACCCCAACACAGTTGGGAGTATATTGGTTTTGTTTCTATTGGGTTCATCTGGTTAATTATTTTAAAAATATTTTATTGTATAGTGTCCATGCACTGTTAGGGCCTCTTCAGTAGAGTTCAATAATACTAAACTGAAGTGATTATAGTGTAATTTTGAAATTAGCCTTATTGAACTAAACTGGATGGTGCTGAACTGAATGATATTTAACTGAACTCAATGTTACTGAACTGAATGACATTGGCTGAATGGTATTGGAATTAAGTTCACCTGAACGAGCCTTGAGCGCCATGAAATTTAATTTTTTTGTATCCTCATGTCGAGCCGTATCAATCCCTATGAGCTTATATGTGTCGGTTCCTCTTAGCTAATTAAACAACAAACCCAATGTAATCCTACAAGTGGGGTTTGAGAGGGCAGGATACACAGACCTTACCTCTATGAGTCTACACATGAGGCTTGGAGAGGCTGTTTCCAATAGAACCTGCCATCTCAACTAACTCATATGACAAAAATAACTTTGTACTTGGATTTGGATTTTGGAGATTAATATGCCATGAGCCATGGCATTTAATATACTAGCTTTTCCAGTCACATACATGAAACCTAGGCCTATTATATTTCCCTACTACATCCCACTAAATCCCACAGGTGGGGTCTGGTAGAGGTAGATGTACGCAGACCTTACCCCTATCCAACATGGTAGAGTCGTAGAGAGGCTGTTTCTACAAGACCTCCAAAATAGAAAATGAACTAAAAATCTTTTAGAGAAACCCCTATTATATTTCCCTATTGCCAAAAATACGAATGTGTTGATGATTTGTCACCCTTTAGATACTTAAACATTGATGGGCTCTATCGTCTTTCTCATATTTTCTTCTAACAGTGATTTCACGAATCCAGTAATCTAGGTTTCGATTTCTTATCTGATGCAATGCATACATATTATGTGGGTAGTGTTCTGTGCTATCAGATGTGTTATTCTTTTTCCTTGAAGGGGTATTTCAACAACAACAACAACCCAATTAGATCCCTTGAAGGGGTATTTGAAAGGGATTTTTTGTATGTCATTGCATGTCATTGGAACTTGCGGATTTCATAATTTAGGGTTAACTTGAGTTTGGTTGGTTTCATTACATGCAAGAAATTATTAACTTAAGCTTTGCTTGATCTCATACCGAGTAGTTGTCTAATGTGTGATGAAACTAATTTTCTCAGGTATCCACTTTCTGATAATTGCCTCCAAAATTATAAGTGTCATGTACTGCAGAGATATATAATTTCACTGCTTATCATGACATCACTTCTTTTTAGTGGCAAATACCTGCGTAACTATGATCACAGTTAATAAATTATAAAATTTATATGTTGTCCCAATACACGTTCTTTTAGAAAACATGGATCATTTAGTTAATTGACCACTATATTCACTTGTAAGAATGTCACATTACAATACTCAAGGCGAGTCCAATTTGAAAATCTAGGGAAACCCATCAGCAGCAATGACACACTTACCAAAGCAAGTCCAATCTTCCAAAGTGTACTTTTTTTGAAACGAAAGCAGAGATATGTTCCACACCAAACTGTTCAGTACAAAACCACCCAAAAGGAAGACCAATACTAACTAGCTACTTAATTACATTTTCCTTTTGAAAACAATATAGCTATGAAGAGTAAAGATTATGTAGTCAATGGTGTTCTGCTCGGTGATGACCTTCTGATGATTAAGCCCATTTTGCGCTCTCCAAATCCGATAACAACTAATAGCCCAGCCTGCCAAGATCTCCTTGTGAATGGTACTACCAAACCTTGTATTGATCTCCTCTCCAAAATCCTTAATACTGTAAGGATCATACCGAAGATTATATGGCTGCAAAACTGAGTTTAGGACCCTCTTAGTGTACTCACAATCACAGAAAAGGTGTTCGCTATCCTCTAAAGCACTAGCACAGAGGCTACATTACCACAAACCATTTAGCTATTCTTGCCTTGGTGAGCAATCTATCTTGCATCAAAAGCCAAAACAAAAATTGTACTTTGGGAGGGGTGACCTTGTTCCACACCCAGTTAGCTCAAAAGACCTTCTGGGTATCACCTTGAAGCCATTCATAGCCTTTCTTCACATCATATTCTCCACATAGCTGCATATCTCTAAATCTATCCCCTGAAGCCATTCATAGCCCTTCCAAAGTGTACTTTTACCACATAAACCGGTGTTTGCCTCTTTTCTTACCAGCCACCTCATGTACATTGACGGAGCCACTACTGCCATAACCGTGTCAAGTATGGGCTGCTAGTTATGACAATAATAAAGAGCATTCCAGGAACGGATGCTTTTTACTACTGCCATAACCAAGATGTAGTAATTTATTATTATTATTATTGTTGTTGTTGTTGTTGTTTATTGTTATTGTTATTATTATTATTATTATTATTATTCTTGTTGTCATTGTTGTTATTATTTTTGTTATTATTATCATTACTATTACTATAAAGTTCTTACATAAGTAGACTCCTATTTGTTCCCACTACAGTTTATGCTTAATACATTATTTGATTACTTCCTCTTTTAGGTATTTGGTGCTCTTTCGCCATTCTTTTGATGTGAGGGAGTTGTGAATTAAGAAATTGTAGATATGAGAAAGTGGGAAGGAAGAAGTTAGAGGCAAATAAGAGACGAGGAAGCGAGATCACTAGGGTTGGGAAGAGATGTTGATTTTTTTCATTGTTTTAATATTGTCCGGCCAATGCAAATTAGATATATTAACTTGAATTAGAAACCCCAACATCAAAAGCTCATATGATATGATGATAACCCACAAGGTTGTTTACTCAAAGATTAATATGAGGGTCGAGTCAACACTTATTATTTTGTTGGGTGATGTTTGGACACCCAGGTTTATACCAAGGTGTACACCAAACGGGCAAACATCATTTTTGCACTTCATAGACAACACTTGTCTGTGACTAGTGTCATAAACATGTTTGTCTGTGATGACTTGTGTGTGAAGTGAAAAAATGAAGCTTGGTGCACACCAGGCATTTTTTTTATTTTGTTACTCCGTATGATTTGAATGAATATGCTCTCATTGCTATGACTTTGCTACAGAGAAGATATTACTGACATCTTCCCTATCTAGCATTTCTTCCTTCATCCATGTAACCATACATGAACAACAAGCACACAATATGGAATAGCTCATAAAGTAATGTATCAAAATACTAATATGTGGTCTTAGACAACACATTCAATTTTGTTATGCTTTTTCATCAATTTGCTATTTTGCTCTCCTTATGACCTTAGCCAAAGAATAATGATTAATAACATTTTCCCTAGTTCAAGCGTTTCCACCTTCCTTGGGGTAGGTGCGTTCTTTTCAGGTTAAATTAAGACTCAGTGTCTTCATCAGAAATTGCACAGTATTGACCAGAATGAGTAGTAGCGTTGGATGATTAGTTTGTACATTTTGAATTGGCAGAATGATATTATATCTTTGTGTGGTCTTTGACTCTTTGTCTTGGGCCGCTTGGCTACCCTGTTGCTCAATAATCCTTCTTTTGGGTGATGTGTTTGCAGGATACAGACTGGATGTAATTCTTCCAGCCACGGCATTGCATTTATTTCCTCCACAACATATTCCAAGTTTCCCTTCAAGGAGAACGGATTTGATACTTCAAAAGCTTCTCATGTTGCCAAAGCTTCTCATGCTACTAAAGCTATTGCTAGACCAAGAAATACTGCTAGTGAAGTATATCTGCAATGCCTTAGAGAATATATTGCAGAAAGAAATGGTACATTAGGAGTTGGATGGAATGTGGAGTTCAAGTTTGTCCACGATAGATGCAAGACACTTGCAGTATATCTTGGTCCTGATGGAAGTAGATTTGAGTCAGTGACTGATGTTGCTTGTCATTTGGGGTTGCCATCAGTTGTTCATTCCATAGATGAAGGCGATAGATTTGGTTTAGCTCACAAGCAATCAAATAACATGCTAAAAAGAAAAGATGCATCAGTTTATATACAAATTGGAAGCTATAATCAAAACTCTAATGTTCCCCGGAGCATCTTCCTTGAGAATGGTGCCACACAAAAATATCAGGTTTCCTACCTGTACCTTGAATTTGCTAGAAAGCTAATTTCATTCTACGTGCCTTCAAGTACTGGTGAACTAATAAAATCTTAGTGCAGGATGGTTTCCCAGTTCAATTTGAAGATTTCTTGCTTATTTCAACAGGACATTTGGATTCACGACCATCATACCATAGTAAAAATCAAATCTGGCCCGTGGGTTATAGATCTAGCTGGCATGATAAAATTTCTGGGTCAATATTTGTATGCGATGTTGCAGATGGTGGTGAGTCTGGCCCAAAATTCAGAGTTCAAAGGCATCCATGCAGCATGCAGTCTTTCATCACTAGTTCTACAGTCCTCTCAAGGCCACAATCTAGGTCCTCTAGCAAGTATGACAAAATGGAGAAGGATGCGCCGCCAATTTTTGGTGTGGGTTATGAGGATAATGATTCTATCCAAATGATGTTGGAAGACTGCAGCATGCCATCTCTGGATAACGATTATGATGCTTATACTGGGCAAAGAGAAGGAGAAGATTTGGCTGTGGGAAAACTTGATTTCTCATTGCCAGCAAGCATGAGAAACAAAACACTTGGTGTCATTGGTCAGGGAGATAACCTGGGAGAATTTCATGTGGAAGGGGCTTCTTTGACCTCTGTATGGGAAATGATCTCCCAGAGTCTTGTTTATGCTAGCCATGAGGTGTATAAACAACATGGGGTAGTGGAGTTTTGTTGTAGTCATGATCATTGTGAAGTAGATGATAAACAACTTGGTGACCTTAATTCATTATCCAAGTTTTCTTGCTTAACAGCACCTAGTAATTTTCGTCGCGTAGTGCATAGTGATAGCGAGTTTAACAAAAATTCTGAAGTACTACTTAAGTGGCTTGAACATGATAGATTTGGGCTAGATGCAGACTTTGTGCAGGAAATTCTAGAACAGCTTCCTGGTATTTCAAACTGCTCAGGCTATAAGTTTTTGAATGAAAGGAAGCAGAAGTCAACCCTTCAAACTATTGGAAGTGGATTTCTTCAGTCTAGAAGGAAGGGTCCTATGCAAGATGATGAGGGATTAGATGAATATTTTAGACCATCTAAAAGACTCAGAAAATTAGAAGAGCGTGAAGTGAGAGCCCCATGTCTTTCAGGCAAGCCATTTACCTCAAAGCTTCCTTCACATTTGATAGGCGATGCTCTCCAGGTATGTGAAATACTTGGCTTAACCATTTGCGGAAGTTGCTTATTCAACATGCTTACTAGTCTTTCTTTTCATTTGCTACTTAAACTTATATTAGGTTTGGGATTTTTCATTGCGTTTTTCTGTGTCTTTGGGGCTGGAAGATCAATTTTCTTTCTTGGAACTCGAAGATGAACTTTTGAGTCCTTGGCTAGATGGACTGCATCCATATGCAAATGTGGAATCTGATGTCGTGGGTGCTGATCATTCTGCAGAGTTTGGATGTGCAGTGAAGCCTTCTCTAGCCAATGCCACTTGTGCTCAATACAGCAGATGTACCGGTCTAGTTTTGGCTAAAACTCACAGCTCTCTGCTAAATGTTTTAGTTAAGGACCTTCTCATGAAGGTTGCAGTGTATGTAGACCCTACCTTTGATGTTGGAGAATCTAAACCCAAAAGAGGTAGAAAGAAAGATGCTGATAATTTAGCCACTCTTAAGAAAGCTAAACTTGATATGTTTCCTGTAAACGAAGTTACGTGGCCTGAAATTGCTCGAAGATACATTTTAGCTGTATTGTCCATGGAGGGTAACCTTGACTCCACGGAGACTGCTTGCCGTGAGAGTGGAAAGATTTTTCATTGTCTACGCGGCGATGGTGGGACACTTTGTGGGGCTCTCGTGGGAGCTGCTGCACTTGAAGCAGATGCTGTGGTAATGCTGACACAGTTCTTTTTTTCCTTCTCTTCTTTTAAATGATTTTGACTATTTGTTTATTGCTGATATTCAAGTTAGAAGTTACAATGAATAGTAGGTTTCTAATTTAAATCTCTGGCATTGCTTAGAACAAAAATTTGTCGAAAACTCTCTAGGATAATTACAAGTTTTGAAAGTGATGAGAATATTATATTTACATTATGTATTTGAGATTTGATCAAGGGATTTTCATTATAGGGCCACTAAAGAGAGAAGGATTGTCTTTGTTGTTGATAGAATACTTATACTGCTGGTTAGTAGTCTGTTATGCATATAGCTAAAAGTTTTTTAAGGGAATACTATTGGCTTGTATATTTGTGCCTGTAATGAATTAATGATTAACATGATAAACATATTAATACTGCTGGCACATCCATTTATGGATGGCCAAATGTGAAATATGGTTTATTTTCCGATGCGTTATTGATAATAGTGTTATTCTTAGAAAGTATTTATATATACTCCCTCCTTCCTGAAATAAACTTCACACTTTTCCTTTTTCTGTTGTCCCAAAATAAACTTCACACTGCTAGATTTAATCGGGTTTGTTCACATATAACCAAATGGGTAATGAGTCAATGTTCGGGTCAGTTAGTTGGGTCTGCATTTGAAGACAAAAGATTGGTTTGAAAGCTTTTGGGTTTGTGCCTGAAAAGTTCATACAGATCATTGTTGCAATTAAACAGTTTGCCGACATTAACACAATGCCTTTTCAAGAAGCAATTTGAAGATTGACAGCATTCGAGGAACACGTCAAAAAGCCAACCGAGGAAGGAGATACACAAAGGTGATGGAAAAGAGAAGGTTAAGGAGCACAAATGTGAGCATTTTTGTTGCGGGAGCTCAAACAAAGAAGACTTTGGACGTGGCCAAGGTAGAGGTCAGGGGTCCGGGAAAGTTCAGGATGGTGGTCTGTTTCTGCGGGTTAAGAGTCACATTAAGTGTTTCAAATGCAATGAGCTAGGATATTTTCTGAACGAATGTCCAAAATGGGATAAAAAGAACACATTGCAAATTTGATTGAAGATGATGATGAACCAACATTGCTGTGAAGATCACTGTGAACAAACAATGATTAGGGGTGTGATTGTTAGATTTAATTGAGTTTGTTCACATATAACCAATTGGGTAATGAGTCAATGTTCGGGTCAGTTAGTATGGTGTCAGTTAGTGTGTTTTACATATTTAATTAATTAAAAATAACAGTTGGGTAGAATCTGAAAGCAGTTATGGGTAGTTTCTAATGGTAATAGGTGTGTTGGTTTGTAATAGTTGTGTTGCTTAGTAGAAGTCGTGTTGGTTTGTTCTCTATTTATATTTAGAGAACACAAAAATCATGTACAGTTCACAACAATAAAATACTCTGTTTTGCTTTGACACTTCACCCATTTCCTTTTATGGAATGGAGTATGTGGCTCACAACCTTTCTCTATTTTAAACACATTGTGATCACACACTTTTCTTAAACTTTTTAAGTCACACCTTTAAGTTTAATTTGGGACGGAGGAAGTATATTTTATCATCTGGAGTGTCAATTTAGTGTTTCTATCTTTTGGTCCCCGATCATGATTAATTGGCTTTAGTATTTTTAGTACAGCACTGAATTAAAAAATAAATTACATGAATGCACAAAGTTTATATTTAGGGTTATGCATTGTATCATTTTTTTGTTCACAAATCACAAGAAGTTGATTCATTTCTTTTTCTTTTTTATTGTTGACTTTGTCTTTTTATGGCTATTGCTCAGCTTTTGTTTAGACTTTCTGCTCAGCATGTGCACTTACTGCTAAGTGTTTGCAAATGATTTTTTTGGGACAGTGATTGTTATGTGGAACTCCATGTTATAAATCATTTGTTTAAGAGTCTAATGTTTGTGACTCTCAGCTTCTTGCAGAGGCTAGAAGAAAAGTCTATGGTTCAGTGAGGATTGGAAGTGATATAGTCAGAATAGATGAGAAAGACACTGATGCTGAATGGACAAATTATGGTGAAGTTCCTGAATGGGCACGCTTGTTAGAACCTGTAAGAAAGCTACCTACAAATGTTGGGGCTAGAATCAAGAAGTGTGTCAATGAGGCTCTCGATAGAAATCCCCCTGAATGGGCAAGAAAAGTTTTGGAGCATTCAATCAGCAAGGAGGTTTACAAGGGAAATGCGTCAGGCCCTACAAAGGTATTTTTCTCTTTATTTTTGTTATGTTTTAGGATTTTACATTTATTTCCATCATCTCCGATGGAGCCAAAATTTCACCATTTTTTGGCTTTGGGGTGTGATGGAATAAATCAAAATGGATCTCTAAACTGTCTGCGCTTCTTTAATTAATGAAGTACTCCCTCCGTCCTATATTGATCTTCTCACATTGACTCAAGCTCATTTTTAAGGAAGGGATAAATATGACTTTGACCTTCCAAAAATGCCCCTCTTTATAACCAATTGAAAAAACTGACCCCCCCTTTCCGGCAATTAGTAGCGGCACTAAAGATTGGAAGGACGACATCGGCGAGGCAGTTTGCTAGGCGGTGGCCTTCTCACCGTGAAAAAAACTAATTCTATTTCTTTTTAAACATTTATTGTAATTCACGATTTCTAAGAAAAACCTTAATTTTAAGAAAACTTATTCACGATTTCATGGTTGTAGTGAATAAAAAGAATAAAAAAAGGTAAGAAAAAGGTACTCACCCTATAAGCCGATGAATCGATCTTAAGGAAGCAGCGGTAGAATTAAAAGCAAATCTGGAAAAATAGCGGCAATCAGAAAAAAAGATCTGGGTTGATTCTAATTAAAGGCATCAGCGGAGTTTGCCCACCTGACCTGTAGTTTACCCACGAAAAAAGCTGCGTAGATCTAGGGTTTCGAGGGGGGGATGAAAGGCGGATGAAATAGATCCAAGATGTGTAACAATAATCAGTGGAATCCCTATCAACACAATAGATTGAGAGATGGAGAGAGATAGATGGAGAGAGGGAGTGAGAGTCAAATCGGCCAAGGGAGAAGAAAGGTGGAGAATCCAGAGACGGAAGATGGAAATGTTAATGGGGGATGGTTGGAGGAAGCAAAGATAACAGGGGTATAATAGGCATTTCATAATCTTTTTTTGAAGTGGGAAGATAGTTTTAGGACGAGAAAAAAAGGGAAGTGGGAAGATCAATATAGGACGGAGGGAGTAACAGTTAGTCAAGCAATGCAACTTTCGACGTTGAGCCGGGGGTCTCTTTGGAAACAGCTTCTCTACTTTCGAGTAGGGGCAAGGTCTGCGTACACACACCCTCCCCAGACCCTACTCTTGTGGGCTTGTGGGATTTAACTGGGTTGTTGTTATTGTTGTATCAGAAATAATTAGCCTAAGGGACACTCCTTATGCTCAATGTATATAGATAGCATGCAAATTTACAATTGTCAACAACTGAATCCTTCCATTTGAGGGACTTTGTAGGTATACACCACCCCATGAAAGCAAACTTATTCTAGCTTTACTTAACTTGTTTAAATACATAACAGCGATCTTCTTTACATATAGCATATCGACACTCTCCCTCAAGCTGATGCATGCGTGTCCTAAGCACCGAATTTGTTACATACTTCCTCTGCTCTATAACGGTTGCAACAGTCAAAATTTGACATTGTTCACACTTTCTCTTGACCATATTTGTGATTTCTATGTAAGGAAAAGTAGAGTTATGTAGGATCTTGTAAGATTCATCTCGTTTTTTTTTCATTTTTACTAAAACATAATTGAAGCATTGGGAAATTTGAAAATGCAAGTGTGGTAACTATTAAAGACAACGGAACTATATAGATGTGTTGGGGCATACTCAAAGAGTTGGTGAAGATCTGAAGATATATATGTGAGTTGATCATTGGATTTGACAAATGGCATGTTGATTTCCTTGGGTAGAATGTTTTCGTGAATTAAATGCCAACCGACCTTGATATACATACTTAGTCATTCCATTAAAGGAAAAATTTGATACAATGTGTAGAGTTGCATGATTGTGACTAAATAACTTCATAGAGCTTATCCTACATTATTTTTTTCTTGGAGTAAGTATTTTAATTGGATAAGCTCACATGTAGTGAGGGCCATGGCTTTTTATTTTGTTTCAACACTTGGTTCTGGAACTATGTCTTGATGCTAACTTTTCTAGGAGATTACCTCCTACGAAAACAGTATACAGAAAGTGAAACCATGCCCATTATGCATTACAGTAAGCAATAATTTCGATATGCAATAGTCCTTTTCTTGGAGACCCCTTTATATATTTAGACTGCGGATGATTACAATCTGATGACTCACCAGTTGAGTTAAGAAACTGACTTGCAACACTGACTGTAAAAGCTATATCTTGTCTAGAAATGATGATATAATGCAGCCTGTCTACTAATCTCCAATACCTTTCAGGATCAGGAAATGGCCCCCATATGTTTGGTATGAGTTTAACATGGAACCATAGGAGTATCAACGATCTGCATGAAAGAGCATTTGTTATAATCAAGCAACTCTACTTATTGCCTCTCAATCAATTTTTTAATGAAAGAACTAAATATATTGAGGTTGCTTGTCATTTTAATTGGGACAAAGATCACGCCATTTGTCAAATCTGAAGATCAACTCACGAATATGTTCCCCAAATTTTTGTGAAGGCCCTAAACAAATCCAATGGTCAAAAACTCACAAAAAATGCACTGCATACATTGGATGCTCTCCTGGGTGTCTATTCATCATTATTCTTTATATTCCCTCCGTCCACAAATTTTCTTCTCGTTCATTATTCATATGGTCAAACTTTATTACTCCTTTTTCCTATTTTTGTTACTCAATAGACATGTTACCTGATAAGATCCGGATCAGTGATCGTAGAAGGCCACCTTAATTATATTATTAGGTGTGAGTTAATTAAGTTTGTTACTATTTTTTATTTATTAAATAAAAGGACTCTCAGGTTATTAGGATTCCTGAGGCCCTAGGATAGCTTAGCTAGTTAGAACTTATCACTTTATTCTCTTGATCTTATCCGATCAGTTTGATCTTATCCATTTGTTAGAGTTGTTATAAATATCCCAGCTTCTCTATTGCTGAGATATCCTGGAAAATAAACTATCAATCACATTGAGATCCTCTTGGCTTCTATCACTTTTTCATTTGTGAGATTTTTACTGAGAGAAGGGAGGGAGAGTTCTATTTAGAATTAATTTAGATCTTGAATTAATTCAAACAGGTTGCTATCATTTTCTATCATTTGGTATCAGAGCGCTCGTTACCCGATCCCGATGGCGATTATCCGTTCAAACGCTGCCCGCGGTGAGGATGGTGGATCCAGCAAGCAATCAGCACACGAAGTTACTCCCCAAAACGACACTCTAGCACAAATTGCTGCCAAGCTTTCTGTGTTAGATGACCTTAAGGCAGAAGTGACTGCCCTGAAAGTGCAGGCTAGAAGTAATTCTGGGAAGGCAAAGATGAGGCAGTATACAGACGATTCTGGCGATGAAAGCGATCACCACCGCCGGTTTCCCAGATCCAAAGTTGAGTTCCCTAAATTCAGCGGCGGAGATCCACGGGGCTGGGTGTTGAAGGCTGAAAAGTACTTTTGTTACTATGGAACATCAGAAGAAGGTAAGGTTGAGATAGCGGCCATGCACCTGGAAGGTGACGCTCTCGACTTGTTCTCCTGGATCAGCGCCGAAAGGACGCTCTTGTACTGGGAGGAATTCATCAAAATCATTGAGGAGCATTATGGACCGCCAGAATACTTGAACCCTTGAACCCAGACGAACACCTTGTCTTAATAAAACTGATAGAATTTAGAATGTGGTAGGGATCACTGGATTGGGGAATAAGACACTTGAGCTGAACCACATTAAAAGATTGAATCCAATCAATTAGTTCGTTCAACTCAAGAGCTTATATACCGATTATTTTCCTCCTGAACTTCCGATGTGGGATGAAACTCTAACACTCCCCCTCAAGTGGACAACCGGGCCATTTTGAATCTAACCAGTTGACCACTTGCAAATAAACTCTCATTCCCTTGATTTCTTTTGAGCGCCAACACCTAAAGGACCACGAGCCGTTGGATATGGACTTCTAGACAAGCAATCATGTTGAACCGGCCACAGGCCGTTGGGTACATACTCCATACGGACAACTGGGCTAAAGACAAACGGGCCGCTAGGAATGAACGTCTAGACGGACACCTTGACAAACGAGGTGGGCCAAAATCTGCTCCGATACCATGATAGAATTTAGAATGTGGTAGGGATCACTGGATTGGGGAATAAGACACTTGAGCTGAACCACATTAAAAGATTGAATCCAATCGATTAGTTCGTTCAACTCAAGAGCTTATATACCGATTATTTTCCTCCTGAACTTCCGATGTGGGATGAAACTCTAACAAAAACAAACAGGCTCCGTACAGGACTATCGTCAAGAGTGGGCGAGAAGGGTTGCTTGAGTCCGAAACTGGCCTGACCATTGTCTCTGGGGTGTCTTTATTGCTGGTTTGAGAGAGGATTTGAGGTCGGAGGTCAGAATCCACAAACCCAAATCTGTGTTCAGAGCTTCTAGTCTAGCCCTTGAGTTTGAGAAACGGAATGCACCTGTGCATTTCAAGACAAGTTCTATGGGATCAGGTCGGGGTTCGGGTTCCGATTCTACCATTGACCCAAACCGAGAGTTTAAAAACTTGTCTCAATCTCACTCGCCCCAGGCGGCTAGACCTGGCAAAATTTGACCCGACCCGTTACTAATCCGAAACCCAACCCGAAACTAGCGGGGTTTGAACATTGATTTTGCGACCCGAACCCGAAGACCCGTTAAATTTTCAGGTCAGAACGGGTCGGGTCGGGTCGGGTTTGACCCGACGTGTTATGCACTTAATTGTTTATTTTTATTAGTTATTTAGTTTTATATATTCATTTAAAATATGATATACCCATTAGGCTACTCAAAAGGCGTAATATATATATATATACACACACATATACATACATACATACATACATACATACATACATACATACATACATACATACATACATACATACATACATACATACATACATACATACATACATACATACATACATACATACATACATACATACATACATACATACATACATACATACATACATACATACATATATATATATATATATATATATAGTT